GTGGGGGGGGAGGTGACAGGGACATGGGGATGACAGGGATAGGATGGTGTCACCTGAGGGGTGACGATGGGTACAGGAGGGTGGCACCTGCTGGGGGACAGTGGAGGGACAGTGGTGGCACCTTCAAGGGAACGGTGGGGACACAGTGGTGAAGGCTGAGGGAGTGTGTTGGGGACAGGGTGGTGGCACGGGGACAGCAGGGAGGGGATGGTGGCAACTGCGAGGGGGGTGGCACCTTGATGGAGGGTGACAGCAGGGACGGAGTGGGGACACAGGCACGGGTGACGGCAGGGCCACGGCGCTGGCACGTGAGCTCTGGGTGTCCCCAAGACCATACGTGACCCCAACCGGAGGATGTCCCCAAGGCTGAGCACAAGGGACACGCAAGTCCCTAAGGCCGGCCGTGACACTGGGGACAAGGGTGTCCCCAAACTCGTCACTGAGCCCTACGGCGTCCCGTGGGGCAGGGGAAGAGCACGGAGGAGGGACTGCAGCAGGAGGAAGAGTTGGTGGCACAGTACCGCCACGGCTGTCTCTGGTGGCTCACGCCGTGGACACCCATCCTCCGCCTCTTCCACCCCACCACCCTCCGCCCCATCCTCCTGGCCTCAGGTAGGACACGAGGGCCACCGAGGGGTCCCCAGGGCCCCCCAGAGGTGGCACTGCGGCTGGCCTGGGGACTTGGGCCACGTCCAACGCACATCCTGTGGTTGGCCACCAACCCAACCCCAAGGGTCTTCAGAACCACCCTTGGCCGGTCCCAATGTGGCCACCATGCTGTCCTTGAGGGTCCCCAGGGCCACCCAGAGGTGTCACCCATGGCCAGTCCAAATGCAAATGCCATGGTGGCCACCAACCTCTCCTTGAGGGTCCCCAGGGCCACTCAAAGGTGTCACCCATGGCCAGCCCAAATGCCACGCCATGGTGGCCACCAACCTCTCCCTGAGGGTCCCCAGGGTCCCCCAGAGGTGGCACTGCGGCTGGGCTGGGGGCGTGGGGCCCGGCCCCGTCCTTGAGGGTCCCCAGGGCCACCCAGAGGTGTCACCCATGGCCAGTCCAAATGCAAATGCCATGGTGGCCACCAACCTCTCCTTGAGGGTCCCCAGGGCCACTCAAAGGTGTCACCCATGGCCAGCCCAAATGCCACGCCATGGTGGCCACCAACCTCTCCCTGAGGGTCCCCAGAGCCACCCAAAGGTGTCACCACGGCCAACCCCGGTGACGTGGTCGTACCCAAAAGCCCACCCTGTGGTGGTTATGGGTGCAGACTGGGGGTCCCTAAGGACACCCTCCTTGTGGGCCCCTGCGGGGACCCGATGCCACCCTGGTGGCACCCCTCACCAGCTCCCGCTCCCCTCTCTCGCAGCCTCCATCGCCCCCAAGGACCAGCTCTTCTACGGCTTCCTCAAGCCCTGGCTGGGTGAGTGGGCGCTCGGGGGTGGTGGGAGGGGTGGGACAGCACCCATGGGTGCCCCCCACGGATGGAACCGGGTGTCTCGCCCCAGGGGACGGGCTGTTGCTGAGCCACGGGCAGAAGTGGGGTCGGCACCGGCGCCTGCTGACACCCGCCTTCCACGGGGACGTCCTCAAGTCCTACGTGGCCATCTTCAACCAGAGCACCCACATCATGCACGTGAGCACCCGCTGCCTGGCCGGCACCCCGCGTTAGGCCTTTTGAACTGGGACAGGTTTTGGGGGACGACCTGGAGCACTGCGACCCCTCGGATGTGGTTTTTGGGGACAACCTGGAGCTCTGCAATGCCTCAGATGTGTTTTTGGGGACAACCTGGAGCTCTGCAATGCCTCAGATGTGTTTTTGGGGACAACCTGGAGCTCTGCAATGCCTCAGATGTGTTTTTGGGGACAACCTGGAGCTCTGCAATGCCTCAGATGTGTTTTTGGGGACAACCTGGAGCTCTGCAATGCCTCAGATGTGTTTTTGGGGACAACCTGGAGCTCTGCAATGCCTCAGATGTGTTTTTGGGGACAACCTGGAGCTCTGCAATGCCTCAGATGTGTTTTTGGGGACAACCTGGAGCTCTGCAATGCCTCAGATGTGTGTTTGGGGACAACCTACAGCCCTGCAGCCCCTCAGACATGTTTTTGGGGACAACCTGGAGCCCTGCTACCCGTCAGACAGGTTTTTGGGGACAACCGGAGGCCCTGCAACCCCTCAGACGTGTTTTTGGGGACAACCTGGACCCCTGCAACCCCTCAGACGTGGTTTTGGGGACAACCTACAGCCCTGCGACCCCTCAGACGTGGTTTTGGGGACAACCTGGAGCTCTGCAGCCCCTCGGACAGGTTTTTGGGGACAACCTGAGGCCTTGTGACCCCTCAGACGTGTTTTTGGGGACAACCTGGGGCCCTGTGAGCCCTCGGATGGGGTTTTGTGGACAGTCTGGAGTCACGCGACCCCTCAGACGTGTTTTTGGGGACAACCCGGAGCCTTGTGACCTCTCGGATGTGGTTTTGGGGACAACCTGCACCCATGTGACCTCTCAGCTGTGTTTTTGGGGACAGCCCGAAGCCCTGCGACCCCTCAGCAGCATCAGGGATGTGGCTGAAGCCATATCCTAAAGCCCCTCAGCCCCTTGGCTGCATCAGGGACTCGTCCCTGCCTTTGTCCCCAAGCCCTGTGGTCCCCTGGCAGTGTCAGGGATGTGCCTGGGCCCTTGTCCCCAAGCCAAGCAGCCCTGTGGCAGCAGCAGACTTGTCCCCAAGCCCCACAGCCATTTTGGGGGACAGTTCTAGACACAAAGGGCCACACCAGCTGCCCTTGATCCCCCACCCCACCC